CTTTTCCATGATCCCGTTAAACTTGGCCAATATGTTGAAGAGCGGGACTTGCGGGATGATGAGCTGCTCCTTCTCGTCCTTGTAGAGCGGGGCGGTGGGCAGGTCCAGGGTCAGGTACATGAAAGTGGACTCCACCATCTTCTCCTGGTACTCGTCGTTCTGGAGCAGCTGCTCCTTTTCGTCTGCAGGCTGAGACAGGGCAACGCCGTGAGCCAAACAAGCAAAAACCCGGGACCGCCCCAGGGACACCTGGAGGGATTGGGGGCCGGGCGGGGGGTGGGGTGGCTGGACCGGCCAAAGGGCCTCTGAGTGGTCAAGGGCCCAAGCGTGCCCAGGGGTAGCCGAGGTCCTCCTTCAAGGATCCTCCTCATTCAAGGTCAGCCTTCTTCCTTTCCCCACTTCACGGCTTCTTTCCCGGGCCAAAAAGGCCACGAGGCCCCCACTCACCAGGTCGGGGTGTGGCAGTTTCTTGGTGAATATCCGCATGGAGCCTTGGAAGACCTCGGTTACGATGGCTGCAGACAAGAGGGGAGAGAGCCCAAGAGGACACAGCTCAGCCCCAGCCCCATCACAGCCCACGCTTTTAATCCACGGGCTAATCTCAGCGCTGACCACGGAGCCTTTTCTTAAAAGGCGCAAACGCCTCTTTGCCACGGGAGCGAGAGGGAGCGGCAGGGGCCGTTTCCTGGTTGCCAGAAGCTCCCCAAAGGCGGCTCTGCCCGAGGGTCCCAGACCAGGCTCAGGCAGGGTGCGCTGGAGAGAGGCCACTTTCACAATCACCCCGGTGTGGAAAGGCTGACTCTGCACATCACAAGTCAATGTGATCGATGGGTTCACGGGCTGAGACAGCCTGCCTGGGGATCTGGCAGGAGGGGAAGAGAGGAGCGACTGAAAAGCAGCCAGGGCTCCTGAGGGGGTTGTGTGCGCTGAATGGCGACACGGAGAGGAGCAAGCGGAGGGCGATGCTGGCTGGCCTGTCCCAGGAGGACCTGGCTGAGACTCCTGGCCAGCAAGGGCCGGGGATGGATCCATCAGTGGTGGCTCTTCGCCCTCAAGAGGGTCCCGCTCAGAGTTCCCCCCCCTTGACCTTGGAGGGGGGGACGGGGGACAAGGCAGCAGCCCCAGAAAGCTCCAGATGCGCCAAGGGGGGTTTGTGCAGCCACCCCCAGACCTCCTGTGGGATTCCCTGGTCATCCCCGCACCAGAAAGCCTCTTTCAACCTAGCTGAAGGCAGATCCTCTCTGGGGCAGCTCTGAGAGGATCCCTTCCCTCCGCCAAGAGGACCGCGACTGCTCCCGGAAGCTGCTTTGGAGGAGGGCTAGGTGGCCCTGCAAAGGTTCGGGGACCTATCAGAGGCACCAAGGCCTCCCGCTTACTCTTCTTCTTCTTCTTCGTGCCCCCGAGGGCAGAGTGCAGGGCATTCAGGAACCAGGAAAGGAAGTCCACGCCGTCGCCTGCAAAGGGAGGGAGGGTCCCCTGAGCACCACGGAAGCTTCGCTCCAGGCTCCCCGAGGAAAGCGGGACTTCCCCTGCCTCCCGCAGGGGCCCTGCCAGGCGGAAACCCTTTCCGGAGGGGCTCCTGCTCCAGGGAGGGGTCCTCTTCCCCGCTGCCCCCCCCGCCCCTCTTCTCTTCAGGCCCCCGGCCGGGGGATGCTCCGGGGTGAGGGGCGCAAGGGCGATGCGCTCCCTGTGACCAGAGGGCCGGGTTCAGGGCTCCACCGAGGCCGCGCGATTCCTTTCGGCACCCGCCCAAGAGCCTCCCGGCGCCTACCTTGCTTGGTGATCTGGAAGTTCTTCTTGCTGCACAGAACCACGGCCTGCAGCATCTCGTGCGGGGAGACGTGGGCCTTGAAGTTCCGGGGGTTCCACAGCTTCCTCATGAGCTCCCCAAACCGCTGGACCAGCAGGAACATGATGTCCCCTGGGGGGCGCCGGATGTGCTTGTAATTCTCCTCCTCCAGAAAGTAGTTCCGTAGCGGGGGCACGTTGGACAACGCCTGCACGACGCACACAAGGAGGAGGCCACAGTGGAGCCTGGGCACCCGAGGGGGGAGTTCCACGCTGGGGGAGACCGCTGGCTCCATGGGAGGCCCCCCCCCCCCCCCCCCCCCCCCCCCCCCGTCTTTCGTCACCCTGCTGCTGGTTTGCGTGCTTCCCCTTTCGTCCTCGTAAGCTGTCTAGGGTAGCCCCACGGAGAGGCAGGCGGCCAAGAAATGCAACAAATAAATAAATACAACCAGTGACAAAACAGGCGTGGTATTTCTAAGAGCCTGGACAGCCCTTTGTCTGAAATGGCATAAGGTCTCCTGCTTGGGCAGGGGGGTTGGACTAGAAGACCTCCAAGGTCCCTTCCAACTCTGGGATTCTTTTAAGCAAAGTGGCTTCTGAGTGAAGCACAGCTGCTGTGCTCATGACTTTCCTTCAGCCTTCCTTCGTTTTCCAGACCTGTCAAGGTCACAAATGTGAGCAAAGTGACTTTTTCATCACCACCTTAACTGCGAATGGTCCTTAAACGAGGCAGTTGCTAAACAAGGCCTACCTGCATTGCACTATTGGGGGGGGGGGGGGCGGCGGGGGGGTTTCCAACCCTCCCCCACCCCAAAGACGGCACCGTACCTGGAGAACCGCGTTGGCGTAGTCGTTGGCTTTGATGTTGTTCAACCCCACAATGCCCGGCAGGTACGTGGTGCCATCATAGGCGCGTGAGAGTTTGGCCTGCCTGTCCAAATTGCTGATGTGCTGATGTGTGAAGGTTGGCTTCAGGACATACTGGATAAGGGGAGAGAAGAAGCAAGAGAGGAGACGCCTTGCTGGAGGCCTTAGCCCAGGCCACACAACCCTGGAGATGGTTTGGAGAGTGGCTAAAAACTTCCCCTCTGCTGCATTTCTGCAGCAACGGATGGTGGGGTGAAACTCTGAGAAGGGACATTTTAAATATTATGAGCTGAGCTGAGCTGAGCTGGGTATTCCCACCTCTCCCCTCCACCCTTCCCCAGAAAGCCACCTACGGTGATATCCTCAAGAGAAGAGTCAATAATCTCATAGTTGTCCGGCAGGCAGTAAAACTTCAAGGTGTGAAGGTTGAGGAACACATGATGACTGAACTGGACGCTGTGGATGTAAGCGTGGGACTTCAAGCCACGGCCTGTGGAGAAGACAGGAGGCAGAGCGTCACAAGCAGGGAGGGAGGGAGGGAAGGAGGGAGTCAGGTCTTTGTTGGGTGGAGGTGGGAATCAGTTGTTACTGTCAGCCGGTCAAGACCTGCTGCTGAGAGCCCCCCAACATTATGGTCTGCCAGCCCTTCTGGGAAAGGATGGGAGAGGCTGCGTTTCAAGCGCTGATCTCTCACTCATGCCTATTATGTATGCCAGAGATCAGCTGTAACACCTGCTCAAGATTAAGCCCATCAAGGTGAGGCAAGAACCCCCCCCCCCAGGTATTTTGCACACAAATTTTTCTCCTAGGCTGACCAAGAATCGCACGTGTGTTCCCTTGCCAACGATCAAGCGAGAGGCAAAAGGGACTGAAACAGGCTTACCCTGGAAGTATTTCCCACACACCAAACAGGCATAGACGTTGATATGCGAGAGTGAGATCGAACACAGCTTCTCAAAGTCAAAATCCAGGACGCTCCTGCAGTGGCACAAGACGGGATCCTTAACACAAGCATCAACATCGTGCCAGTGCTGTTAGGATATGCAAATAGTGCACTACCCCCTCCTCGTGATGGCGGATCTGCTACTTTTAAATTAGTGATGACCTTTCCAGTCTCATCTTAGTATTTCATGCAGTAAAACATTGTTTTTCTGCTAAAGATCTAGGAGGAAAGATTTATAGCTGTGAGATGAAAACTAGAGATTTTTCTCCCAAGGACCTTTTTTCTTAAAACAAAAACTGGAAATAATATTAAGCATCAGGTTCTGTATATAATCCTGGTATGCCATAAACTGGCGCTGCTCTCAAGGCCTCTTGCCACTCTGGGGTGGGGGGACAGGGTATTTTTCTGGATCATGCATCAAGCGGCACCTGCCAGGCCTCCACGGGAATTGCTTGCTAGGGGAACGTCTTGCCAGAGGCAGCTTCAGGTGGGACACCAAACGGCTGGTCCTACGAAGCGTTTCCTGGCGGGTTTCCTCCGTCTCCGCCTGACTCCTTTTTTCCTAGCTGTTCATTCACTGATGACCCCCACCCCCACCCCCAAATACAGTTTCCTTTTGACACTGACTTGTTTATGGTGTCCAGGTAGGGACAGTGCCTGCTCCGGCGGTCTTCTGGGTCAAATCGCCCGTACTTCACTGAAAGAGGGAAATGGACCAGAAACGTTTGGTACCAGGATCGGAATAAACATTGAAGACAGCGAGTTGCTGGGATCTCACGTCCTTCAGTGGGACGAATTGCGTCTTTTCCTTTATTAAACGTCCCTGCCGCCATCTTCCCGGGGGGAAGGACTTTCTCCCTGCGGGAAACCGCCGCCCCGGAGTCTCGGCTTGCGGCCGGGAGGAGATCGGCCCCCCCCCACCATTGGCCGCCTCAGGGGCCCCTCCAGGAAGCGGGGGGGGGGGTCCCGCGCGGCCCCAGCGCCAGCAGAATCGCGCCCTAAACCGGCCCTGGAGGGGGGGGCGAGGGAAACGGGGGGGGGCGGCCTCCCTCCGTGCTCGCAACCTGTGGGCTCCGCGTCGCCGTCCTCCTCCTCCGCCTCCCCCTCCTCCGGCTCGTCGGGCTCCTGCTTGATGGCGACCTCCTCGGCGGGCTCCCGCTTCACCCGCGCCCAGCCCGCCGCTCCGCGAGGCGCCGCCGTCGGGCAGCCCGGCCACGGCTGGGGGCTGCGGGGCTCCCGCTTGACGCGCGCCGCCATCTCCGCCGGCGCCAAGACGCCGCCCGGCGCGCCCCGATGCCGTCACGAGGGGCTCGCGGGCGCTCCCTGCCGGCGCCCCGCAGCCTCGCAGCCCCGGCCGAGCCCCTCGTGACGGGCGCGCGTGGGCGCGTGGGCGCGCGGGGCCCCGGCCGGAGCGGGGCCGATGGACGCGGGGCGCTGCCACCCGGGCGGGCGGCTGGACATGAGCCACGGCTTCGTGCGGCACATCCGGCGCAACCAGATCGCCAGGTGGGGCGGGGCGGGGGGGGG